ATAAAGTAAATATAATAATTAAATAATAATTAAATTAAGGAAAGTTAATATACTTACTAAGACTTAATTAAATATATTTTAAATTATATAAAATACTATTTTATATAAATAAGTACTTAAGTACTTTAAAGCTAAATTAAAAACTTAATATATTTTATATATTAATATTAATATTTTATATTAAGTAATTGCAGATACGCTACTACTGCCTCCAGTTTAGCAGCACCGCCTAAACAGGCAAGATATATATACTATATACTTACCTAACTGCATATTATATAACTCCCTCTATATAAAATAAAAACCTCCTCTAACCCTAGTAATATATATATTTAACCTCTCTTTCTTCCTATACTCTGCCTGCTTATATCTGCTATTCTTATTCTTCTATAAGCATTATTATCTTTAGTATAACTCCCTTTACCTATCTTATTATATTATTATTCTAATTTAAAATAAAGTTCTTTTACTAGTAAGATTAACTAACTATTATAATACTTATATTACCCTTAATACCTAACTATAGAGGGAATAAGGTATATTTTAGTATTTTCTTTCTATTCTATCCTTTAATATTATTAATAACTTTACTATATATCTTATCTATCTTCCTTTCCTATCCTCTTTACTTAGAATCTAATAATACTAATAGTCTAAAGAGTATTCCTTAACTTAGGCCGCTAAATAGCAGTATAATACTTCTTAAGCAGCAGTAAAGAATCTTATAGTAATTTTTTCCCCTATAAGGCCTCTAGTTAATGCCTATCTAGTAGTAAAAATACTATAGTAGCTTATTAATACCCCCTGCTACTTAATAGTAAGTAGTACTATCTCAGACTTACTTCTTAAACCTAGTATAAGTGTGACGGTTTGGGTCTAACTGTGTTAAACTAAGCCGCGCTAGGTTTATTATTGGCAGATGGCGTAGGGCGTGATGCTGAGCGGTTGTTGAAGTGTCATGTCTCTTAATGGTAGATTTAATGCGTGCTAGGCTTAATTAATATAAAGAAGTTTTATTAATAGCTAGTGAGATAACTCTATAAAAGTGAAATAAGTGTGAACTATATATTACTAGCTATGAAGTACTTGTCGGTACTTCTATTAAGGACTAAGATGTTATCCTGTCAGTCCTGGACTATAGTTGTGAATCTTCGGTCCTGTCCTGATTTATTAAATCTGATAGACTGAGAAGGATCTCTTTGGTCTACTCCTAATTGGTGAGGTTTGTGGGGAATTTTATGGGGTATACGTGACGTAACCGCGAGGGTCGTAACAATAAGTAGCTCTAGAGGCCTCTAGAATAAACTTACTCCCTAATTAGTTTCCTTTATATATAAAATAAGTAAAGTGTCTAATTATAAGTTACTTAATAAGGCTTAAGTTATTAATTCCCTATTTAGGGGTTACTAATACTACTTACTACTTAGGTAGAAGTTCCTTAATTATTTTCTATTAATCCTTAACTTACCTGTTTCTATGCAGATTAAGATAGCTTAGATACTTTAAAAACAGTATAAGCTAGTATACTAAAAGCGATAATTAGGTAAAAAGGTAAAGAAAAGGAGAGAGGCGTATGCACTATAACGAGCTATTAGTATTATAAGTATATAACCTCTATTAGTCTTATTATTATAGGATTATAAGATATTTATATTAGTATCTTAAGCTCTTTAAATAGCCTTAAAGGTTCCTGGCTATAATAATTAATATATATAGGCATAGTATTAAGCTTTATTACAGTCAGACAGAAGAGCTAATACTGCTAAAAACTCCTATCCCTAGTGCTGTCTGACTAACTGGAAATCATGCATTTTGCGTAAATAGCCTAGCAGCTATTAAGACCTGCCTTATATAGTATCTCGAGGACTCTGCCTTGCTAGCAAGTGACGTGGATCCCTGATGATGTGCGAAAAGGTGAAGTAAGGAGGGGTTTACGTGTCCACCCCCTCTATCTGCGTCGCCCTGATCTCGGAAAGCACATAGGAGACAGCAGGAAGCAGTCAAGCGATAACAACACTTGGGCACAGGGTTACTGTGACTTGCTTTCAAGCATATAAGCTAGACAATGTCCGCTTGTCCTTCACTTGTTCCTGCTGCTAGAGCAATTCTCTTCTCCCTTGACTTACAACTTTGCAGACTTTTCATCATAGTGTTGACAATCTCTGATACTAAGCAGCAGGATTCGCTGCACATCTTCACTTCCCCTGGCCATCAAGTTCCCCTACGTAACGAGCGAGCCCCGTCGGCTTCAGGAGAATCCACGGACAATGCCATATGGATCTCCGATGATGACTCCTCTGACACAGAAGATGAGGACGACGTTGAGAATCATGATCTCAACGGGTCGCAATCAGGCTACACAACACCTACAACGGCTAGCGTCGTAGATCATTTGAGTAAGTTCTCGACACTGCGGTTGTTTCTGCTGTGTGACCTGACAGTCCGAAAATAGATAGTATGTACACCAAACACAGTGAGACTGAGTCTGATGCTGCCGTCCGTATAGGTGTTACGGCAGTTTTACCTCCAGATCAACTGGAGGGTATCTAAATCTTGTCACATGAATCACAGATGGTCTTGTCTAGTGATCCCGAATCGAACCAGCAAGCCCTCCCTCCGACGACTTACACACCCACTGGAGACACAACGGCTGGTGCAGATACTGACTCTGACATCTTGTTAATTGGACCTGAAACCCAGGCATGCCTGGGTGCATCAGACGGAGAGCTTGTGACCAAAGCTACTGGGGCTACCAGCGAGCTTGACGTGGTGACCGTTGCTCTCTCTAACGAAGAGTCCTGTTATCGATTACAAAATGTTCCCGTGACACCTTCGGAGCTCATATACTGTCCCGTTGTTGCCACCACAGAGGTGATGGCTCAGACGCCGCTATACGATAGCAAAGTGCGCCCAGGCGCCGAGCGCAATGATGCCACTCCTGCGCCCCGCAGTTCATCTCCTAGACTGAGGCTATTGCCCGAATCACGACCAGAACAGGGTCAAGACCACAAGAGCTGCTCGCCCAGAGACACTGAGCTATACCTCTTGGAGGCTGAATTTGGATCGCTACCCGCAGCTCGAATATCTCCTCCGTTTCGTGAGGGGCTCTCTCGGCACTGTTGTCAAACATCCCCACATACACATATGATGGTACAAGATAAGGACAGCGACGCAGACACAGAAGGCTCTGGTAGTGAAGATGACCTTGACGTTCAAGAATGCATTCATGTCGAGGAGTATTGTCCTTCGCTGCCAGATTCCCCGGGACATCATTCTGATTCTGAAGACGATTCCGAAGAACTGCATTGTCGTAAGCGTCGTAGGGTAACCCGATCCCAGCAACTATCGACAAGACGTACTGCGCAGTTACCCAAAGGGCGCCGAGTATCAGTACGCGGCAGTGAGAGTCCAGCACTATCACAAACAAGTTCGGTCCCCTCCGACGCTGGCACTTTTGCTCGATTTGAGGAATGGCCTCTTAGTAATGTTTTTTTGAAGCGTATTACCGAAGGAGACATGACGACGTTTCAACTGCAATTTGATTGGACTCCTGACCCAAGTCAGCCGCATGATGACAGGTCCATATCGCGTTCTAAGGAGGGCAGAGGTCCCCATAAGGGTTCGCTTTCGGGGACAAGATCATCCGGTGGGAAATGGACACTAGAAGAAGAGAACAAGGTACGCACGATGAGGCAAGGTGGCTGTTCTTGGGCCGAGATCCGGCGCGCCCTTCCACATCGTTCCCAGGGCACGATCTAGGTTCGGTACTCGACTAAACTCAAAGGTTGATTAGGTCTAGTGCTCGTGCTCGAGCCAGCCGGCTGTTAGAAATCATTGATATAGTACAACGTAGAGACATAATAAAAGAAATATAACCTTGTTTTATCGTTCGGCCTCAACTTCGCTGACGCTGGCGTAGGAATAATTACTAGTGATAGCTCTCCCATAGTCGTCTATCCACTGGTCGACCTGAGAGGCAGGGCATTTGCTCCCTCCATGTCCGTGTCAGGGCCTCCCGCAACCGTTGAAATGGGGCAAAGTTTTGTCCCATATTCTCAAATGGCGTTTTTATTAACATGCCCTTAGCAGAGAAAAGTCCAGACACTTCAAACCTTGGAACTTGTGATGACCATCCTACTCAAGACCATATTATGGATGGGCCAGAGCTAAAGAGCCCGTCGTTATCGAGTCCAGACAATGAAGACTGCGATATGCCCTCTTGATGTCCAACACTTTTGTGCTGTCCCATCTTTTCGTGCCCAACTAAGCTTGCTTAGTGGCCCCCGCTGGGGCTCGGGCCAACGGGTAGTGATAGCGCATCGATAAAAGAAACGTGTATTTTGTGGGTCCCCGGATATATCAATACCGAGTAGCGGGGAAAACACCTAGGACAGAACAGAGACAGAAGAAGGACGAGCTCCTGGGGACTAGATTGATCCTTAAGTGTGAAAATTTACCCCATTTTGATTGGACATCAACCCTACTCGCGTATCCAACAACGTCAAGCCCCACTGGGCAGCGCCAATATAAAACCATGCGCTAAGGGAATTGTTGTGAGCATGGCGAAGTCATCATACAAATGTATTGGAAGAAAGAGCAGCAATAATTGGGTTTGTGTAAGTGCGCTGATGTGGGCCCGTCAGACTTTCACAGCCAGCGCGCCGTCGGATCCCTGCAAGTTTTGGGTATGTCGCTCCCGTTATTTATGTGGTGGTGACGCAAGTTCGACTGGCTGGAGGTTACCGCGCGAGCCCGCAGCTGGTCCGCAGTACATTTTCCTGACGAACCCAAAGTTCTCCGATGACTAAGAAGCAGAGCCCCTAAACGCAAATGGAAACGACCGGAGGTTTTGCAACAGTCCTCCCTATTGCCCACCGTAGTTATTGCTGTTGGGAGGCACCATCCACACTTTCCGCTTAGGGCCATTCTCAAAGCAATACAATGCAGATAGCGAGGCTCTGATTGATACATCATGCATGACGGTACCTACGCGTTGTGTTGGGTGTGCAGATGTGAACCCCTCGTTCAGCGACCGGAGTCCGGCTCCGCCATCTCTCATTGGTCAGAGCCTTGTTCTCCTTGCCACTAGCCCCTTTATAAAACGAGTTTCGGGAACCTGTCTTGCCCAGTAAACTGAACTACCTCGTCGCGCGCATCCAAAAATGCCAAAGACGACTCTTCCTGCCGATCCCGGCCCACAGGCGGACCCGGAGCAGTCAACATCTTCCCAGGGTCTGCGACGGCTCCTTCCCGCATCCAGACCATCTGCGCCAGTTCCCATTGCACCGAGCCGCTTGTCAGCCGTTGAGCTACCCCGCAAGCGACGACAGGTAACGGTGGCCTGCGACTCCTGCCGGCGGCATAAAATAAGAGTCAGTCGAGCCTTATATTCAGGATCAAAGACATGGCTAAGCTCACAGACCGTGATTAGTGCGATGGAACTCGGCCCAGTTGCGGAGTCTGTCAAGCGAAGGGCAAAGAATGCACGTACCAAGAACCGCGGGACGACGCTCTCAAGCGTAAATATGCCGAGTTAGAGCGTTCGCATGCTGACTTAGAGGACGTTATCCGCGCTATCCAGCGTCGCCCAGAGGCGGAGGCCAAGGCTATATTCGACCGCATTCGAGCTGGGGCCGATGCCCAGTCAATCTTGCGCCAAATCAAACATGGCGATATCCTGCTTCAGCTACACTTGGAACCAGAGACGAGATACCGTTACGAGTTCCCTTACAAGTCGCAATTTCCAGAGCTTCTGATCTCCATAGACAATCCCTATCTCGGCTCTTTGATCTACGAGGGCGCGCGTGTTGGCGCTCCTGCCCCAAGCCTCACGCTATCATCTACGAATGAGAAATACCAGGCCCAGTACCTTCGGCCTTACCATGCCGCAAAAATCATCGATTCCAGGTTGGAAGAGGTGAAACCATCCCAGTGGACTAACGTCTCTGTTGATGACGTGTTCATGAGAGAGCTTCTTCAGCTTTATTTCTTACACGAATATGACTCGGTCCCATTATTCCACAAAGATTACTTCCTTGATGGCATGGTGGCGCTTGATGACAGATTTTGTTCCGCTCTGCTTGTCAATGCAGTCCTTGCTCACGCATCTGTAAGTAATTTGACTATACGGCAATGCAATGCTCTCACCGACTTCGTGTGGTTCCACAACTCACGCTATGTGCTCTTTACAGACCTCCTATGCTGCCAATCCCGATCGTGCGCAATACTGGAATCCGCGCAATATCTCATACCAGTTCTTCGCTGAAACTAAGAGGCTTTGGGAACTCGAACGATTGCGAGAACCCTCTCTCACCACTTTGCAAGCCGCACTTGTCATGACCCTCATTCTCAACATGGGCGGTTTGGACAAATTAGGCATGACATACCTAATCCAAGCTGCATCTATGGCGCATAACCTACAACTCTTCGATTCGCCAAGTACGGTTCGAGACATTGAAGTCCGCAATTCCCGTGACTTTACAGCGTGGGGTCTTTTCTATTTGCAAAGGTATGGTATTGGAACATGTCAGCCTGGAAAATTCCCTTGGGCGCGTTCGCTAATCCGGACTTCGATTTAAGCATCGGATGCTATTACTTTATGATCCCACCAATGATCAACGGATCGACCAAGATATTCTTGCCAGACGTAGAGGAGTTCCCTGAAAGGTACGGCGAGATTTGGATCAAGTACCCTCTAATTCAGGCAAGGGTTCCAATGCGACTCGGTCACACAGTCAGAGCCAGAACGGAACTCGCTGTGAACATGAATCATATCGCAGCCGCTCGCTTTGATAAAGATGACGGAAGTGGCCCCGGAACGCCAAAGAACATCAGTGGCTTTATCGCAGACCTGAAGCGGTGGTACAAAAGATTGCCTGATCCTCTACTGCCTAAGAACATTATCTTCCCATCACAGCTTAAGCTACAGTACGTTGCATCGCACCCAATGCTCTTGTTTCCCCCAACAGCTTAACATAAGAAGTGGCTGATCTCTCGGTGTAGCATGTTCTACCATAATATGCTTATCGATTTATATGAACTACTTTTAACAGAAGTGGATGTCAATACTTCGCCCGATCCAGTGCACACGCAGGCAGAAAGCCCGCAACTCGCTTCGGATCATTCCAAAATCTGCTTGGAGACGCTTGTTCGACTATACTACCTTCGTCACGGGTTCAGTGGCTCGGATGCACTACTCACTAACTTTCTTGTGCTTATTGCATTCCAGTCCATTACCAAACTGAAGGCCGGAATTCCTTCTCCATCATCATCTTCTTCTTCCTCAGACCCCAGTATACCTGGGATAACCGCATCGCCATTCACAGCTCAAGACTTGAGCGACGCACGTTCTGCTCTCATTCTTGCCGAAAAGGGTCTTACAGAGCAAGGACAGTGCTATTTCTTTTCCCAGACTGTTTTCCACGTGGTTCTGAACAGCATTAGCCCAGAGGACGCGCAGCTCGTACAGCATTATACGAAAATCCCCAGTGAGGGACCTGATGAACGCCGGATGCGCGCCGAACATGTTCATAGCGACTTTCCCATAGAGATCGTCACCGTCACAAACGGCGCCACCAGCCAGTCTCTAGATAAATTGACGAAAAGGTACGCCGAGATGACGCTGAAACAAGCGAACTCAGCATAACCAGCAGCGGAGCAGGAGCACAATGTCGGTAATAAATAGAGTAACCCAGAGACAAGATGGTCTCCACAGCGAAGGTTGTGCATATAGGCAAAGAGTCTGCAGATAGTCAGCATTGTCATAGGGCTTGGGATTGACATACCTTTGCCAAGCAAATAAAACCCAATCCGTGAAGTCACGGGCATTACGAATTTTAACACTCGGCAACAACCTAAACGGCTCAAGGCCATTAGCCATCTCCACCGCTTGCTTCATATAGTTATAACCAAGCCCGTCTGTGCCATCCACGTTGTAGACGACATGCAAAAGTAGTGTTGCCTGGACAGTTGTGAGCTTCGGATCCCTCGCTTCCAGTTCCCACAGGTTTAAGGTTATTACCAAAAAAGCAACCAAGCGAACTCCAGCAAGACAGGCAACGTATTCAGATGATCAAGATAACTTCCTCATACAAATGAAGGAAGTGGAGCAGCTTGGGTGGCCGGAGATCCGGCAGTGTTTTACTCGGCGTTTCCCCGAACGAGGCGGCTCAGGTCTATAAGTGCACTACTGTACGAAACTCAAGGATCTTGAGAGAACTTAATATCAATACGCTTTTCTAGGTTACGTGGCTTAAGATGGGTGGGATGTACCTTACGAGCTAAAGAGTGCTACAATACTATTGGGCTAAATAAATAGCATCTACTATAAGCATTAAGTTACAGACCATGGTTGCAGAGGCATATACATACAGTCTCCAAATTACCTAGTTAGCAACTCCAAGAGGTTATACACGCATGTGACTAGGGATACAGAGGGAATAAGGATATAGATAGGATGTAATATAAATGCCTGTCTGGTCTTTGAGAGAACTTATTACCGGTATACGAGCTAAACGACAGCGGATAGTGACTCTACCAAATTAAATAATAGATGTTAATAGCGTGTTATGTTAGGCTTTTTTTGATAAGGCATTAAAATTCCATAAAGTTCCCTTATCCGCGACTTGGGCTGACCTTTATTAACGAGTGGGAGAGCTCTAACAATTTGCTATCCAGTGATTGGCGTATATACACTGTACCCGGTATCATAGTCCAACATAACAGAGAAGGCTTCGTATGAGCTAAATACCATCGTCTATATTTTTTGAAGCCTTCTTTCAAGTCCTATGAGCTTACTCCAAGTAAGCCCAACTCTTCCGCATCGAACAATTCCCGATGGTATTCCCCACTTCAGAGGTTCTCGGCTACCCGGACATCTTTACAATGAAAAATAAACGTAACCGTTCTATTACTGGCAACAGCCTCCCCGTCTCCAGAATGTCAAACGTCTCTAAGCCCCGCGAAAGATATAAGCAAGCGACCTAATTACTCCAGGCGCTCCTCTACCACCAGCATTGAGCTTACAGTAATGGACGGGTGCCTGGGTCCTCTTGGAGGGCAACCGGGCGCCTGCACTCATTGGGTCTGCCGGAACTGCGCCAATAGTCAGTATTATTAGGTTCGTGGATTTTTTCCAGGAAAATGATCAACCGTTAAAGCACATCAAGGATCTATCTATATAATAGAGGTCCAGGTTACAGGATCAGGCTTGAAAGACGGTCAAGCCTAAAAGGCTGTTAATTCATGCCAAGGCAATATAGTGATGGGGCGTCCTAGAACGGTCGTGGAACTGTATCAAGAATTCAAAGAACGCTCCCGTCTGCACTCTGCAGCTTCACGGTTGCTTGAGAAACGGATGGATCAATGAGGAGATTGATGGCGATAAGCGCTCAATGCACCGCAGAGAGCGGCATATATCGATCGCTTCCCCAGAGCGACGAAGGACGAATCCCAGTTTACGACGCGATACCGAAAACTAGCAGTCTCGATTGCCGGGCGAAACATTCTCGAAGTACCCGCAATGGGCCGAGATGAGGGGAGAAGCTACTTCAAGGAGGCATTGACCCAGGAAATCTCTTCAAGTGACGAGCAAATCATGAACAATCGCCATAAGTTATATGTACGTCTCTCTTGAAAAGGTCGTAAGCGGAAGGATATTCTCCACCAAAAGAGTGAAATGCGGCAGCTTTTAACCTCGATTGACGCGGGGTCATACAAACGTGGGCTAGCCGATTATGAGTTGGTCATCAAGATACTTCGAGCACGGTACCCTCAGCTGTTGCTATGTACACCTCCTTGACGTTGGTGCGCTATAAGTAGAAGAGAGTTTGCGAATAGATAACCGACTTCGACCAACTCTGTACACAATATCAGCTTCTCCAGTTAAACTCACATGGTCCAAATCAATTTACGCGGAGCCTATCCATTAATGAAATTCCAAGAGAAAGCGTTCCGTGCTACGTGTCCAATTGGAACCCTGTCAGGCTCACGGCTTTGGTTTCTCTCCCGTGTTAGCCCCGGCGTAACTTGACCTGGCTTTTTAAGGATACGTGCCACTAATGATATCATCGCGTTAAGGCCCCCGACTTGGTTGTTCGCTCCCTTGGATTTCCCGTCAATACACATAACCTGCTACTTGGTCAATGCCAAGACCCGGCATATGCCCTTACTAGCGCGTATATTAGTAGGGCATTATTAGCAATCTAGTATATAGGTCGCTTATTTTAATTAACTACCTTAGAGATTTTAAGTAAAGTATAGGCTTAATTTGCTTTTCTTTTATATTTTCTTTTAAATTTATTTTATTTTTTATATTTTAAGTATATCTATTAATATATTATTAATATATTAATAATAGATTCTTAAAACCTAATATTTACTTCTAAGATTAAATTAATTTCTTAAGATAATCTCTAACCTTTAATTAATAATAATTAAGTAATATAAAGAGGCTTAACTTTAAGTTATTTAAAGAAAAGTCTATAAAATATTAAAGAAAAGGAGTAAAATATAAATTAAACTATAATATATTATTAAGTAATTATTAATATATTATAGGATATCTTTAATATACTTACCTAATACTTAATCCTAACTGTAAGGCAAGCAGTAGTTTAGGCTAAAGTATTAATATTATATAGAGTTACATAACCAGCGCAGGCTAATTACAGTATAGGGAACCTAGTTAGGTAAAGCTAGTGCCTATAGTAAAGGAAGCTAAAGTACTAAAGGCAAAGTACTAACCCTTATAAATAGCTAATTAGCAATACCCAGGATATAGCTAAATACCTAGTACTCTACCTAACCCTACTTAACCCTACCTGACTTTACTAGACCCTGCTATATTATATTACTTTAATTTTAAAGCTAGTATATATATAGAAAATACTAATAAATATAAATAAGGGTAAAGTATAACTTAAAAAGGCTAACTATTTACCTTTA